AGTTCAGACACTGAGAAACGGAACGATGCAGAGATAGGCGTCCTGACGCTAGGCAGATTATCACTCACCCAGCTCATTTTGCGTCGCGGTCTGGCCCTTTTCCTTTGCGTTTCCTTCCTCCTGGCTTCAGTTTACATCGCCGTTTACGTTGTTCCTGCCGTCCGACCAACCTTCTCAGAATCGATGAATGCAACAGCGAACTACACTGCAGAGTACATCACTGAGAGTATTAATAATGGCACAAACATCGTTTGGAGTTTGGGTACTGGCGCAATAACTGTTGGAGTAACAGAATTCTAGCTTGTGAGTTTTCACAAACCCCTTCCTTGTATTGTAAGTTTTAGGTGAAAGCCATTTTTGTTTTATTTAAAAAACAATAGGCAACTCATTTCAGCTGATGCCGAGCTTTAAGGAACCCGGCCATTATTCACAACTGAAACAATACATGGAACTATTTGTACGTATAGTGAGAACATCGTACAAATATTATTATAATACTTGAGTCTTATATAGCGCACGTATCTACCAACAATTAGGTACTCCAGGTGCTGGTAATTACAATGTATGTCTATTTTTAAAGACAGGTAAATCAAGTTAATGAGAAATATGAGAAAGACAGGTAAATTAAGTTAATGAGAAATATGAGACCCATTATGTAGCTGTTTTATAAAGGGTATACAAGGTGCTGTGGCGCATATTGCTGCCACTTCCAGAAACACTTGGGCAAACTCGAAAAGCGAAGTGTTACTGGGTTCTTTGACGTGCATTACACAACACACGGGACCAATGGCTTTATGTACGTCCCATTTAAAGGATGAAGCAATAATGGTAAAGTGCCTTGCTCAAGAGCACATAATGGTGAAGTGCCTTGCTCAAGAGCACACAGGTCATGTTCCCACATTCAGGATTCAAAACCCACGTCACATGAGTGTACCACGTCACATGAGTGGAACACCGTAACCATTGGACATCAACTCTCAAAAGTGTTTGACCTAATTTATAACCGATTTTGTCCGATATATTGGTGGGGTTTTTTTCGGCCAAAAAATGTATCCTGCTGTCAATTAAGTGGTTAAGTGAAAAAAATTGATGTTAAAACTTGGTAAGGTGTACTTGTAATACATTTCTGTGGTTCAACGTCTGATTCTAGCAACTGCCCCGTGGCCTCTTGTATAGGGACCCGCAGCCGCTAGCGCGCCCTCTTTTAGACTCTGCCGCTATAGTAATTTGCGCCACAAAGAAATCTTGGTCGAACTGGGCATCGTACACCTCCAACCGCTGCTCATGAACTTTCACACCCTCCTGGTAGTCGAGGGTGGTCGATTTCTCCTTTACCCTGCCACTTGGTACCTCTTCCAGAGGTGTCAAGTGGATTGGGCGCAGATCCTCTTTGATGTGCGCAGCTGCTGCGTTGATAGGTGCTGCCTCAGCCGGCTCCTGGGGAGGCAACACTTCCGCTTCCCTTTCACTGCTCTCCGCATCATCCTGCTGGGCCATTAAGAGCATCCCCCGTGGCTTACCACCAAGCAGCTTACACACTGGGGCTGGCACATCCTCTTCTAACAAGGACAAAGAGGCCGGTGACAAAGACAGTCCTCCACTCGCCTCCGATCCTGTGATCGAGAGATCAAAGCGGCCTCCTTGAGCAACTGTACCCCACCCGGCAGACTTACGTTTGGCTGGCGGTTCCTGCATCTTCGGTTGCTTTGATCAGTTGCTTCTCTCCTCGTGGTTGTTCGTCGATGTCGTCTTTCTGATGAAGTATACATAGTGCCTCTGCCCACGTCTCAGCATCTCCCAGATCCTTCACCTTCCGTCTGTCTGGTCTCTTCACCATCATCCATCTGGTCACCTTTGACTTGCTTTCTCCATCCTCTACACGTCGCCTCTGTGCTCACTGTCTCATTTACTGCTCCCCATGTCAAGTCCTGGTTCAATTTGTGTGTCCTCGTGCAAGGCGGTCCCTTGCGGTTTTCTGTCCAAAACGCCCATCCAATAGCTTAAGGAGTTCGCGGTATGAATGCCTCTTCTTATCTCCGTCTCCATGGTAAAAAGTACCTTCAATGCCGGACCCTTGAGGCTCGCCGACAGATACACTGCTGCCTCTTCGTCGTCCCATCCATTGGCTATTTTACACGACTCGACATGTTCCCTGTGGTCTATCCATGGCTGTTAACCTCCAAAGTGGTCTAGGACAATCCTTGGGCGACCACAGCCCTTTGTCAGCATCTTTTGTAACTGCTAATGTCCTATTATTTGTTGGTCTCGTTTGAGAGGCCATGGTGTCTCCTTATTAGAGGCTCCTGCACCTCATCCTATTTCACGACCTGGCTCCTCACTTTTATTGTAGTTCACGTATGACTTTCATTGGCTTGTCGCTTCGTTAACTCCAAGCTTGCCTTAACAGGTGGCGTTAAGTCTCCTCTAATGCCAATAGACTGTACCTGTGGCATTCAAGACTGATTCTTCTTCATGATACTCCTTGGTTTTGGAGGCGTCCAGTTGCCTCATGTAGCCTCCTGTCCAATGCCCTGCACCTGGAAAATGGAGGCAAGTCCAGTGTATGCACCTGAATCCAGCGAATTTGCTCTTCCAATCATCCTCTAGTCGAGATACCCTACTCTTCAATTTCGCTATTGTATCCTCCTGGCGTGAACTCTCCTCCATTGCACGGTGGAGCTCATTCTCCCTTCCCTGGAGGTCCAATCGGAGACTGTCAACTCCTCTTGAAGTTCCTTAGCAGTCTGGCCTGTCATTTTTATTTTGTGTCTACGTATGTCATCTAGAAGAGATTATTTATGCTCTTTTGCTTTCAAATGTTTATCTGGTGTTTGCAGGTGCGAGTCGATTAACGACAATGTTCTCATAAATGCACGCCATCCAGAATCCCTTACCTTCCGTCATCTTCCTTCTCGTACACAAGCTTTATATCATTCTCCTACTCGTTATCTTCAAAGACTTTGGAACCAATTTCCACCCCATATTTGGGAATCTGCAGTACTGGACACTCTACCTGTTTTCCTTAGGAATCTTCGGCAATTACTTTTCTCAGACAACTGATTTCATTATCCTCATTAGTGTTTTCATATACTTGTTGCATTTAATTGGTGGGGACTTTCACATGACTTTCACATGATTTGGGCTTTGTTGCACTAGTCTTCTTGCTTGCGTGTAATTTGTAACAGGGGTCAGTCTTCTTGTTGCTGTTTAATATTTTCATTATTTTCTTGTAACTTGTTTTGTTCTTGTCTGCGTTTGTCTGCTTAATATGTGCGGGGTTACATACCTGTGGGTAATAGTAATTGAATTTACTTTTGTGACCCCTGACCCACATATCGTCTTTCTATATATTGTCTTCGGATGTTTTCATTTCATATTATGCGTTGTTTTTGTGGCCCCTTCACTTACACTCATACAGTGTCGTCTTTTTTGTTTCTTTTGTTTTATTTTGTATTTCGTAGCTTTCATACATTTTTGTTTAGTTTTTGATTTTCATACCGTATTTGTTCATTGTGTATTGTTTTGGTCGAATAAATAATAATAATAATAATAATAAATAACATTTTATATGATAAGGGACAACACTTGTACTTTTATTTCATTAAAGGTCATTCACAAGTTTGTGTTTTTATCAAATTTATATATGTATTAGTTCAGTATATTATAAATGTTCGGCAAAAAATAATTGAAAATTTGAGTGTTTTTCCATGAACTGGGATGGGGTGACGCTTTGCCATTTTGATGTCTACTTCAAAAGTAGTTTATTGCTTGAAAAATAGCAATTCACACTGTAAAGTTTTGAGGGTTAACTGTCCTGCTGTCTGAACAGTCACAGACAGTCAAAAAACAATCCTCTTCCCCAGCCATGCCTTTTGCACAGGCTAGTCACCAACAGTCAGATCATATTTCAAGCAAGCACTGTGACTAGGCAAATTCAGTAAAAGCAGGCAAGTGGTTGGCACAGCTGGCCTATCAGTCACCTACAGTCAAAGCATAGCTGTATCATGTTACATAAACAGTCACAGCCTTTCAACTGATCCTGCTTTATGTAGGCTGGGGGCTACTTAGACCAGTCACTTGACTGATTTTGACTGAAAAGACAACTTTGCTGAGTACGTATGTTTGCATAGGAGGGTTAAACGAAAAAATAGGATGGGGAGAGCAGCTTACTTTTTTCGCGGTGAACTGGAAACATGTTTCACGTCCTGGCTTTGACGTTTAACATGTTCCAGGTCAAGGGTTGCCCAAACGTGGCCCTACAATCCTGGCCCTACAATTGTACGTGTGATGGACTTTAGGACTGCTTTTCAGTGGTGGTCATCTTTGGAGGGAAAAGTCACCCAAAAGTCAAACGCCAACCCCACAAAAAATTAACAGAAAATGGGAGAGAATTTATCGAGCTTTTAATGTGATGTCGAGCACCGCGGAGAGTTCAGGTGACTGCTCTATGTTCCGACACCCCTATGTTCCGACAACCTAGATTGTGTTACTCCGGGTTAGCAGTGGCGTCACCAGACTTTTCAGTCTGGGGGGGGGGGGGGGGGGGGGGGCACAGGGGGGCACCAGCATTTGATGAGGGGGCACTTAAGTGGATACGGATCGCCGTCCTGGGGGAGGGGTCTAAGGGGAGGGGGTGCGCATACGGAGGATGGGCTAGATGCAAAATGGTGCCACATTTGATGCTAAATTCGATCTGAAGATATCTCCAGAAATTGCTATTTTTGAGGTAATGATTTTAACAACGCGCAGAATTTTTTTTTTACCAACCCAAATCTCAGATGGGGGGGGGGGGGGGCACTCGGGGGGCACTAGGTTTTCCAGGGGGGCACGTGCCCCCCCCCCCCCCCCCCCCCCCCCCCCCCCCCCCCCCCCCCCCCCCCCCTGCCTGGCGACGCCACTGCGGGTTAGGGTTAGGAATAGGAATATGTGCAGTCGGAACATAGGGGTGTCGGAACATAGAGGTGTAACCAGAGTTCATTTTGTGAGTATTTCCCCCCGATGATTCAACGTTGGTGTCGGGAATTATTTACTGGTCTGAACCCGCGATCATTGTTTAGCCGCATGATGTGAACGGCGCCCTCGCGCACGTGTGACCATTTGCGTGCTGCTCCTTGTTTTTTTTTTACCAGCTGACGGGATGGGATGCCGCAACTAGGTCACGTTTCTTTTGTGTTTTCTGTGCCAGTTGGGTTGAGTTTGCGGTGCAATTATTTTGGCTTATTTGATAAGCAGAACGACGTATGTGGAGTAACATCTAACGCTTCACCGCCCTCAAAGATAGGCCTATTTTGTTTTGTTTTTATTGGGGCAAATTACGGGTAAGTAAACGTCACAATTAAGTGTCGTGTTTGCATGCTGTGTTATCATGTTATGTATATTTTGTGTTCATAGTCATACTGCAGGACCATGGAGGTAGAATGTGGGGCGCACTAGTGATTTGCCTTTCCATGTAGTACGTCAATAGGCCTAACTATGAAGCCCGGGAAGGGACAGGGTGGAAACTTTTTTTGGAGTTTGCTAATTTGTTCGCACGAATTATTAATTCGTTCGCACGAATTACTAATTCGTTTCGAACTAATTACTAATTCGTTCGAACGAATTACTAATTCGTTCGAACGAATTACTAATTCGTTCGAACGAATTACTAATTCGTGGGAACGAATTAGTAATTCGTGCAAACAAATTAGTAATTCGTGGGAACGAATTAGTAATTCATTCGCATGAAATACTAATTCCTTGCCACGAATTACTAATTACTTAATTACAAATTAATAAATTTTTTTTGGAGTTTGCTAATTCGTTCGCACGAATTACTAATGCGTTCGCACGAATTACTAATTCATTTGCACGAATTACTAATTCGTTCGCACAAATTACTAATTCGTGCGCACGAATTACTAATTCGTTTGCATGAATTACCAATTCGTTCCCATGAACTGCTAATTCGTTCGCACGAAGTGCTAACTCGTTCACACGAATTGCTAATTCGTTCGCACGAATTGTTAATTCGTTCGCACGAATTACTAATTCATTTGCATGAATTACTAATTCGTTCGCACGAATTACTAATTCGTGCGCACGAATAACTAATTCGTTCGCATGAATTACCAATTCGTTCCATTGAACTGCTAATTCGTTCGCACTAATTACAAACTCGTTCGCTCGAAGTGCTAAGTCGTTTGCACGAATTGCTAATTCGTTCGCACAAATTGCTAATTCGTTCGCATGAATTGCTAATTCGTTCGCACGAATTGCTAATTCGTTCGCACGAATTGCTAATTCGTTCCTACGAATTGCCAACTTGTTCCCATGAATTACTGGCATGTTCCCGGATGTTAGCAATTCATTCCCAAGAATAAGGAAATCGTGCGAACGAAATAGCAATTCGTGCAAACGAATTAGCAATTCGTGGGAACGAAATAGCAATTTGTGTGAACGAAGCAGCAATTCGTGCGAACGAATTAGTAATTCGTGCGAACGAATTAGTAATTCGTGCGAATGAATTAGTAATTCGTGGGAACGAATTAGTAATTCGTGCGAACGAATTAGGAAATTCAAAAAAAATTTCCACCCTGTCTCTTTGCGGGCTTCATACCTAACAGTGTTTTTGAGTAACCAAAAAGGGCATGAAAAACGTGGCCAAACCCCAACATCGGACCTGGGGCAGCGCGGGGGGTGGGGGGGGGGACATAGGCGCATTATAGGCCTGTGCACTTTGTTCTTTCTTTGTTTAGGTTGTTGGTTGTTTTGGTTTTTATTTTATACGCATTTATAAACCAGGACCAGTGGGAATGTGTAAATGATAATGTTAGTTTGAGAAAAAAAAAATTTGTAAGGCCAAAAAAAAAAAATGTTCGGTCTCTGGTCAGACCAAAGTTCCGGAATTTTTCTTCAAGCTTGGATTGTACAGACAAGGTGGGTACTATTTTGCTTTTTTGGTGTTCTGATGTACATTGGTGTCCTTCATAATTTGCTTTGGTGCTCTCGCAATTGAGGAGGTGCGGCAATAGAGGGCACTGTTGGAGCTACCGCGGAACATTTTTGAAAAAAAAAAGATTGACGCGCATGATTAAAATCGATGTGCGCGCTGACAAGAGACCGACTTATTATTTTTTTTGGCCTAACCAAATTTAAATAATACCGTACCAGCATTGTCTGAGTTCATAATATAAAACATGAATAAAACACCAGATCATGAAGAACATATGACAATGCATTTTGAAACACAGTTTTTTACAGCAAAGCATGTTTGGCAAACAATATAAAACATCCTACCAATTTTACCATATGGGTATGTGGGCCAAATTATGGTGGTTGCAAGGAGCTATATTAAAGTACTAGAGCGCTAACTTCGTGTACAAAGTAATGCCTGCTGGGCGCATCTGTGTTTGTGCACAAACCTATGGAGACCTAGAAATTTTGTACGGCTATTTGCATATCTGCGTTTGCATTCCAAACCGGTGCGTTATCAAAGCCAATACGCCCAAAACCGAAACGCATGATCAGCAAATGAGTGTGTCATTTTGCTCTACACAAACAGCTCAACGCGTGCGCGTATTCCTTAGCAATCCAGCCATTCTCTTTGTTTGGCCCAAAACAGTGATAATGTGTACAACATTATGCAATTTATGACAAATGGTACCGAAAAAAAAGTTGCACATTTGTATACATGTTTATGATCGGTAGATGGCAAGTTCGGGGCTAGGCAAGGATTTATCTGTCTACTGAGTTTTTATGACGAAAAACTTGCAGAGGGTAAAACATGAATAGCTTTTTTTATTAAAACGAAACTACATATACGTACACTGGAATTGGCGTAATGCATATGACTAGTTTCAGTGAAAGCCCGTCCCACTCCTAGGTTGGGGATGTGTGTGAACCTTGCTATTTGTGAAAGAGGTTGTGGAATGCTAGCTCGAAGATATTTCCGTCATTTTGGGGGTATATGTAGCCTAAGGTGTGATGAAATAAAAACGACTATTGTTTCTGTCATGAAATGAGTACAAAGGGTACTTTTGAGAGCTATTTTTCAGGTCCTGTTTCGACCCGAACCTTCAATTTGTGTAAAAGTAAATCATGACGTAATAAACAGGACTCGTTTATGCTACTCTGCATCGGGAGTCCTGTTTATTACGTCACGATTTACTGTGTTTTGTTTGCTGCCCGCAACGACGACTTTTACGCAAATTGCACGTTCGGGTCGAAACAGGCATGACAGGACTTATTTCATCACACCTTAGGCTACATATACCCGAAAAAATTACGGAAATGTCTTTGAGCATTCCACAACCTCTTTAATGTTAAGTACAGAATGCTAGCAGGGTGCTACCGTGAAGAAAAATCCCATAGACACTAGTGCTAAATGCGCATACTTCAAACTTAAAAATAGCGCCACTTTCGAGCCCAATAACATCCAAAATGCTCAGAATTGGAAGCCCCAAGTCCGGGCCAGAGGTTCATTACCATATCTCTTCAATTCCCCAATATTATGGCTTTCAAAACTCTCTAATATAGAATATTTTGAGGGTATAACTTTTATTCATTAGTTGGCGGACGGATTTTTGGCAAAAGTTTACAGGTGTGCACCCAGCAACGTCAATGAAACTTTTGAATGAAAAGAAAAACCTTCAGGGGAAAGGTATGAACTTTTGCTCCTATTGAATGATCGAATGAAAAAAATCCTGGCAAGAATAATCAACTTTGCCACCATTGTCATGGCTGAGGTTATTGCTTTCAGGTCAAACTTCCATAATGGTGGAAATATCATAGACATGTCATGATTTTAGATACCTTGAGAGAAATATTGATTCTGCACTGCCTGAAGATTTAGAAAATACCTCCTCTTGATATTTTAGTTGTTATATTTTAGTTTAGTTTAAAAATAGGACTAAAATGGATGAGATACCTGTTCAGGTGGAAAATAAAAGGTATTTCCATCAAATTCATTTGTACTCTTGTCATATTATCATTATGTGCCATGTTGTTTGTATAAGGATTAGGACATGCAAAAATAGGTACAGTGAAAATCCCTTACTGTGATAATATTTTGTGTACAGCATTTTCTCAGCAACCCAAAGTGCTGTTTTCATGATTTTTTCAGTATTTGACAGAAACTGCTCTCGGCTTTAATCTAATGCCAAAAACAATACAAAAATCCACCTATCCCTTTTTTTTCAAAGGCAAATGTTTTAGGGTTGCATTTGGGGGGGGGGGGTCACCCTGTATATTACCTTAAAACTGTATGTACAAAATGTACATAGTCAAAAAGGGAACGATATGCATGGAGTACCTTCACTGAGGGCGGCTGGGTGTTTGTTCTTTTGAGATACTCACTTTGTACTTTCATTGTCACTGCATTAATAACAAAACATGACCTTAGTGAGGGGGCTGTGTGCAAACGGTCTATGGAAAAGAATTTCTATACTTGTGGCCTATCCTACATTTTCAGTACTCTTCTGTATTTGTCAAGTAAGTTGGGCTTGGAAAATATTTCGGTATTGACATTGGGCAATAACAAAATTATGTTTTTAAAATACTGAAATACCAAAAAAATTATGGAATTTCAAAACTGGGATTCCCTAAAAATCCCTATGTGGCCAGAAAGTGATGTTGTTGCAAAGCTTTAAAAAAAGAGAAGAAGTATGGAAACAACTAGGCTAGAACTTTAATATAGGCCTATAATGGATACTTGTTTATATTCTTTAGGGTCATGGTATAGACAGACTCATAACCAATTATTTTCTGTTTGCTAGTCATCTAGCTGGGCCTTTGAAGTTCTGCTAAGTAGCACCACTTGTTTGCAGTTCCCTTTTATCACCACTTCTTATTTGATGACTCCTTTGTTCCTTCCCCTTCCCCATCCCCTCAACTCACTTCTGATCTTCTTTTTATCTTTACTCACTACCACAAATTGTTGTTGCTTCCCCTGCCTAATTATCAACCTCTATAGCCCCCTTTTACCAAGTATATGTAAGTACTTCATCCACTGTCCCACTCCTCCCCATCCCCTCTATTAACAACTCCCCCCCCCCTTGATCTTTACCCACTGCGACACTCTTTTGTGTCTAATTAATTCCCCTTGCGTAATCCCTGCTTTATGATTCTCCTTGCACTCATGTCTGCTGGTGTGTCCCATACTTGTTTGATTCTGTACCCCTAGCTGTCAATGATCAATCATTAGGCCCCCTACAGGGTGGTCCAAAAGAAAGTTTACACTTTTTCAGAGGCAGATTTTATATAATTGAAGACATGATTACACCTCTATGTTCCGACACCCCTATGTTCTGACTGCACATATTCCTATTCCTAACCCTAACCCTAACCCTTACCCTAACCCTAACCGGGAGTAACACAATGTAGGTTGCCGGAACATAGGGGTTTCGGAACATAGAGCAGTCACCGAAGACATGTTGAAATTGTTTTAAGATATTCCTAAACTACAAGATCTTGGTCGTACATGTATATGGTATTGAAAATAAACTGGGTTGAAAAAAAGCTCAAGTTAAGAAATAACGGCCATTTACAGAAGAACTGTCAAAAGCTAGTTTTGTCCACGTCTATGGCAGTCATGTAGACATCATTCATTTACAGTTATTGCAGTTCCTTATGCATGCAGCTACATGTATATTGTATTCGATCATTCACTGAATAACCGAACAGCATTTTTCCAAATAGAGAATTTTTAAAATGTAAGTGGTCTCAAGAAGATATATGGCCCCAAAAAAGCCTGTGATGTTAATTTACTAAGTATAGTTGCATGGTTTTATTGTTTGTAAAATGACACATTTTTGTGGGGGAAAAAAGCCACTTAACACGCACACGATTTGAAAGCTTCCATGAGAAATTCAGCCCAGCGGTAGCTGTGTTCCAATGGTTACGGTGTTTGACTCATGTGCCGTGGTACTTGGGTTGGAACCCTGATGGGGAACATGATGCTTGTGTTCTTGGGCTAGACACTTTACCACAGTTGCCTCTCGGTCTCCACCCAGGAGTCTAAAATGGGCACCCATGAAGGTTGAGACGAAATTGCGCTGATCTCAAGCTGCTGCAGAAAAATGGTCTCATTCCAGATGAACAGGGGTAATAATTGTAAAGTGCTTTGGAACCTATAAAATGCTATACATGTATTAGCACCACACTTTTGCTTAATCCTTTTTGATCATTTTCTTTCACAGATTGAATTTGGAGTGCCAGTATTGTTGCGTCTGACACAGCCATGGGTGACTACTCAAAAGTCAGTACGAACAGTAAGGAACGCTGTGATGAGACAGTGGCAGGAAACGACCCTTACCCTGCGGAGAGCGAAGCACCTGACGAAAACTCTTTGAAAACACACGAGGGCAGCAGATGGAACCGCTGCCTCTGCCGGTGTCTGTTCCCCGATGCACCAGCGTCAGAATACAAGAAGACACTGAAGGAACTTTGTAGACTTTCATGGCCCCTGGTACGTTTCAAGAATTCATCTCAGGGCCATGAATCCACCCCCCCCCCTCCCCCCACCAACATCTCGGCCATTAAACGACGAAAAATTGTGAAACTCGGTACAAGCATAGAACAACTTAACATAAACATACCCAAGAAATTTCATGACTACAGAGCAAAGGGTTTTGGAATTATGGCTAATTAATTATTCATATGCACCAATGGTAATTCTGCTTTGTGTACACTCCGTATATGGGGGAATGCAGTTTTCACGTCGCGTAGCACCAATAATTGTCCGCTGCGCAACAACCCCTGGTCCGAATTTTATGTTTTGGACATCAAAAGATGCGCAAGACTCGAGGCTAAAAAGTCAGGACAGCTCGGGTTGCAAAAAAATATTGACTGGAGCGGGGTTTGAACCTGTGACATCTGGATTGCCGTTCCGGTGCTCTACCAACTGAGCTATCCAGCCCTATGTTGGCGGTTCCCCATTTTGTCGTCGTCTTTGTTCAAGGGGCACTAGTCAGAAGCCATAAACCTGCATATGCCACGTTGCCAGGCATCACGTCCAAAACATGATGCTAGTAACATTAGTAATTTGTATGTTTTACTTTGATAAAAAAAAAACATTAAAAAAATCCTACATGTACTTTTTGGACTCTGCAATTCTCTGGGGAAAATTCTCTGGTGTTTTTGTGCTTGTAACACAAAAGATCAGTTTGAATAGTTGTCGGGATGCAAATAATTGAAATTTGTAAATTAAATTATTCCATAACTAAAGATTGGTGGATTTTATTCATTCAATGTATCATTCAAAGTGAATTTTTGTTTTTGTTTGTGTTACTTTTACTTTTTTGGTGGGGGGGGGTGTTGAAACTCATAAATACCAAAATGAGAGCAATTTCAATATAACAATGCATCAAAATTGAAAATGACTTTTTGGATGATTTTCTTTCTGGCCTGTAGATGCTGTATCTGACAACATCCATGCTCTACTCAATGACGTCCATCATCTTTACAGGCCACCTTGGGAAGGCAGAGATCGTCGCAGCTTCTCTTGGGCAATCGGTAAAGATGATACCTCTCTTTTACATTCAAAATGACAATCAGAGAAGATTTGAAGGTTTGCATGGTGAAGATATGAATGAGATAAAGTTTATGGTAGCACCATGCGACAAATCTCTTTTGTGAGGTTCTTTAAATAATCAGGTAGAAACTCGATCAATGTTTCGGACGGGGTAAGGGGGGTATTTGCACACTATTGTGCGATAGTTTGCATGATCGTAGGATTTGTACAGTGCCCCCCAAAAAACTGGAGGGCCTGACTGACCCTCCCCGCCCCCCCTGCAGAAATTCCTGTATCCGTCCCTGTACTTGTAAGTAGGCTTATATCCATACTATCTTGCACACAATCAAAATGCATTCTCTACGTAGAACACGCATTACGGTGTACTCCAAAATTTACATTTCGTAACGTGAGTAACCAATTTTGTGTGTCTTGTTTATCATACATAACACATTTTTCTGGATGCCATCTTTGGTGCTTAGGTAGGTCTAGGTCTACTCTATCTACCATGGGGATAACAGTTATTAAACCTTTTCAGTAAGGTAATTTCAGCCCAAGGAAACTCAAAAGTACATCAAAAATGTAACGTGAGTAACCGTGGAACTGCCCATTACTAATAATTGGCATGTAGCTCGCACTGTTGAACATTTCAACAGCTTCCGCATAATTAATTCATCGACTATAATCTGTTGCCATGACTATAATCTGTCATTCAAGCCTAATGGCCATTATAAGTCCCTAAAAATTCCTATGTGGCAAGATAGTGAACTTATAAAGTTGGGGTCAGACATCTCTAAAAGCAATGTCATGCATTGTGCAAACATGTGTGCATTGTTCACCCTCAATTTTTTGTTCCCCCCCCCCAATTGTTTGTTCCCCCCCCCCCCTCCTCATGTTGTAAACAAAACGTGACCAGTGCATGTTGATTGACAAAAGTACTTTTCAAACTGTTTTAGCTTCATTCACAAAAAATTCCAGTTGTTTTAGCGACTTCACTAAGTAAAAGTCACAGATTAGTCTTTATCCTTTATCCCCCTGGCTTTTTGCGATAGTGTATTCCTTATGTGTGGGTAGGCCTACACCGAGTTACGGGGAAGTTTTTTAATTTAAGGCACATTAGGACCAAGTTATGGGGACTTTCTGCTGTCCCCACAGCGTTTTCGGTCCCCACAAATACCTCGTAAGGGGAGTGCATGTCCCCATAACTATGGAACAAGAATGGGTGTCCATGTGTGCATGATGTGTCCGTGTGTTCCACTATAAATCTCAAAATAGAATTTTTTTCATGCGAGCTTGGAGCATGAAGCTGTTACGAGTGCTCGATCGAGGGCCCCGGAAAGTATTGGATTCTTAAGATACTCTGTGGTGCAATCTGAGGCTTTTCCTGACGACTTTCCCCTGACTTTTTGAGCAAAACTTTATCAAATTTGCTTGTGTTTAATACAACTTGAAGGATTTTTAGGGGATGCAGGGGGGGGGGGGGGGTAATTATATTTTTAATGTTTCATTTTTTTTTAATTTCTGAGCAGAACTCGTCACTGAGCGGGGGTTCATTTGAACCCTCCACACACCCCCCCCACCAGCGTATGGGCCTGGTGTTTACATTGTATTCAAATTCCCAGTCATGGTATATGTATCGTTATCTTTCAGGTTATTCACGTGTTCTGGAGGGCACCTATGTTTGGGTTTGAATCTGGAGCTGATACACTCTTCACACAGGTGATTATTAAACCGACCCTTGTCCTCCTTATACTTTGACTGTGGCGACTGATTATGCAACCACAGATAAGGCCCAAAAAAAAAAAAAATCGGTCTCTGGTCAGCGCACGCGTCGATTTTAATCATGCGCATCAACCTTTTTTTTCCTTCAAATTGTCCGCGGTAGCAACAGCAGCGCCCTCTATTGCCGCACCTCCTCAAATTTTTGTACCAAGGAATGGGGAAATTGCACCAAGGCAAATGATGGAGGGCACCAAGGCAAATTATGGAGGTCCCCAATGTATATGAGGACACAACAAAAGCACATTAGTACCCACCTTGTCAGTACAACCCAAGCTTCCAAACAAAAAAAAAGGCAAAAAAAAAACAAAAACGCGTCGCCGCATCAATTCCGGAACATTTGTCTGACCAGAGACCGAATTTTTTTGTTGTTGGCCTAACCCATATTTTGCATTCAGAGTCTAAAGCAGGGTGCTCAACAACTAAACCTGATGAAGTTTTAGTTCAGTGAATGCTGTATATTCAGAGAAAGCAATTTTCTAGTATCTTGATTTCAATTCAAAAGCATCCGGGACATGTTCTCATTCAGCCGATTGAAGCTATGCGGATGTCACACACTGAACCAACGAATTATATAGCAACTGTGCGCGCGTGTGCGTCGTGTCAATGCTTGCGCGCGCACCCATTTACAGCTCCGCCGAATTAAAAACAAACTACTAACGGAAATTTCTAAGAATGCGTCTTCAGATGAATTTTTGGAAATTATCATTTTTGATTGTTTAATTCTTCATAATGACAGCATGCCAGAAGGAATAATTTCACAGGGAGTTTAGTGCCATTAGTATGCTTTCAACAATAATTTTGTCAGTTACTTTTTGGATCGCTGCAAATGATGTGCTCTACCTTTAAGAGACTTATGTATTCATGCTTGTGTAAAACCACACGCACATGTAATGTCAACAACAAAGAATGTATAATTTATTAACTGGGGGACAGTGTAATGTCAAAGATCAACGATTGTATTGAAAAGAGGCAAACGCAATATGGCAGACTGTATTAAATCATTAAATCAGACACGCATAAAAAATCAACAAATCAATCGAAAATAACAGTTAGAATGAGAATTAGAACTACAATCCAAGGGTTGTCACACATTGATTTTCAACTTTGCTCTTTTCCTTTTACAATAATTCGCTATTGATGATATTTCCCCCGACCCCTAGAAAGTGAAATTTTGTGCCTACAAACCCAACATGGCCCATCTGGTCATGTAGACTGTTCATGCCGCTGCTCTACGTCCTGGTCATGCACACTGTCTGGCCAAGTGGCCAACCTCTCCGCAGTTGTAACATCTCATCTCCGGATTGGAAGGGGGAGCATGGCCAGCGAAATTCTCTCGCCAGATATTCCCTTCGAAGTGCCTTTCACTTGCAACACCTTCCAGGTATTCCACACGCTGCCCCATCAGTCACTGCCCTTTGATGACATTGTCCAATGTTGTCAACTGCCGTTGGACTAATGCCGACAACTCTGCAAGCTGACTGGAAACATCACCTGTAGTCTGCTGGTTAGCCTGGGTAGACTCGATCTTTAGTTCTGGATTGGCCTCAGTCTGGGGTTTGGTCTGTGGTTCAGCCAGTTCGGTCGTGTGCTGCTTGATTCCATACAGTTGTGCTGTTGTCTCGACTCTCGTACTTGATGAAATTCCTCGGCAATGATGTGCAGCTCTTTCCACAACATCTTGAAGCTCATTGTCCAGGTCTTCATTGGGGCCAGGCATTGCCTCACTGCATGCTCATGTAGGCCCGACATGAATTGATATGATTTTCCCCCAGGGATCTACCTCTTTTTGTTTTCCTTAATAAAACTGCATCATTTGTCATCTGTCATGTTTTACATTTTAAAAACTTTTTGAGAGGAGATCTGACGACTCTTTTGCTTAATATCAAACGATTTTTACTGTACACTGAATGAATACATATAACAGTTACTGTGTTGTGCTATAAATTCATTTATGACGGGTCGCACCTATGACGTACGTGTTGTGTGAAAGGAATCGCAGGACGCATCGCAGCTTCGATGCATCGTAGGGGTACGATTGGTCACAGTGCTGCGATGCATCCTAAGTTACGATGAATTTCAGGAAATTGGGTGCTAGATATACATGCATACTACATCATCAACATGACTGTATACTTGTTCATGTGTTTCTGTTATTTTATTTATTATTTTGTTCTGTCAAATTTTTGTTTGAAGACGTTTGGAAGCACAAACAAGAAGCGCGTTGGAATCATCTTACAACGGTTTCTGGTGATGAGCATGTTATTGGCCGTCTGTTGTTGGGGAATTTTACTCAACACTGAAGGTTTACTGCTGTTGTTCGGACAGGACGCACACATTGCTAAGTAAGTCCAATATATCCCTTTTTCTCGTTAATTTCCTTTCTCTGTCTTCATTTAAATCTGAGGTCATTTCTTATTTAAAACAAATAAAGCTAGGGGGGGAGGACAGGGTATCACCGTCATACAGCTTATGTTTTAACTCCCAGTTTTGTCTTTGAAATTACGAATCATCAGATAGTTATGAAGTGGTTCCATTATTTCTTCTTCAGATTATCAGGTGTATATGGCATGATTTACATCGCAGCCACACCAGTAAGTGATCTTCAAACTTTCCCTGTAAAAAAAAAACATTCAGTTGTCTAAATGATTGTGTGCATGTACCAGGCAGAACAGCAGAGAAATGGGCTTTGAAGATTAAATCTTCTTGAAAAACTTGAGACACAAAACTATGGATATCCTTCAAAAGATTCCTTTAAATTCAACATGTTACTGAGAGTTGTTCTGTTCATCAGCGACGCCCAAACTGGCTGCCTCACCAAGTTTTCCATGTACCATTTAAAGCAATACACAAACAAGAATGTTCTTGTATACTAACTAATAATTTATTAATGCACCATTTCAGATCAAGCATTAAATGTGTAATTTTCTTATCTTTAGCACTTTGGCGCTGATCTAGGAAAAAAATACTTCTGATAATCTGATCTTATATTAAAATACAATTATTTCGTCACAATCCCTGTGAAATGTATGCCTGTTTTTATGATTTGGTTCATTTTGAAGTGAAAGCCATTTTACCACATGATTGAATGGCACTCCATACTTCTGAGGCAGTTTTCTCAATTTTGTAATGGAACCATAGTAACACTATGAATAAACTACTCCATTAGAATGATCCAAAAATACTCTCTTAACTGCAATGCAGTTGATGTAATGTATGGGCAGCAAAACATACTAACATGCCAGCTTGTTGAAAAGCAGTAAATGTATCTGTTAATGATAGAATGTTCTGTATGTGGTTGCCTTGTCGACTAAACATATGGTCGCCTATAAACAGCAGTGGTTGGTTTCTTGTGGAACAAAAGTCGCCCATGGTAAGGAAAGCATTTTCAAAACTTTGTAGTTACAAAGTTTTGTTGGGTTTTTTTTGGTAAAAAAGGGCGGTTCATACTAAGCAGGAAAGCAAAAGTGAATGCAAAACGCTGATGTCAAGTTTTCAGGCTACGAATTCGCAAAAGTTGAACACGCTTCAACTCAGGGGATTCTGCAGTGAACGTTTTCGTGGCATCAAATTCGCTTAGAAGTTAGAGCCCGCATGAATTGAACCGGTGTCACGGTCTCACTTCTCCGGCTTGCTAGCTTCTCCGGAAATTTTGCTTCAACACGCATGCACAAAATTGCACAGTAGTGTACATTTTCGTCAACTGTATTAGTGTGCTGAGTTCTTCGGGGTTGTTGGTGCATGTAAGATCTTGGGATATTTGTATGCAATACAGGGTACCAGTCCAATCCAGAATTTTCGTTAACTCCCCATAACCAAAAAGAAAGACGTGGTTGCACAAATAAAGACGAAATGGACCACGAACAAGCAAGGAACACGGACCAAGGGGTTCGTTCTTAATTATGAACACAAAGTCATGCATGACGCTGGGAACACAATCAGAATTCTTGCAAGACCATGGAATGACTTGACCCACAGGAAGTGTTACATAACACATTCTTGGGTTTCCCTCACTATATGCTATTAATGGCTTGGTAGACTTCAGAATACAGCCCCAGGAAAAGTAAGCACAGCGGACACATGAGCATGTATCGTGCTCCTGTAACGTGCACTGTTACGTGCTCAATTATCCACCGAAACCACCCGGAGAAGCTAGCACGCCGGAGAAGTGAGACCGTGACACCGGCCTAAAAGTTTTTAATGGTTCAGTAAAGAAATGTGCACGATTTTGTTAAATGTCTTGAAACCCTTAACCCCCTCCCATTATAGGCAGATTTTGTTGTCACTCTACTCATAAAGTATCTACAGAGCCAGGGTATAGTGAGACCTATATTGATTGTCACCATCATCATGGGAGGCCTGAATATACTCCTCCACTTCATTACTGTGTCGGCTCTACAGTTTGGATTGCCGTAAGTAGTTCGTTACAATATAGAAAGTCACTACAGGGCGAGTCCAAAAAAGCAAAACTCAAATGGCAGAACCAATTTTTTAACCCTAACGTACCTAAGTCCATCAAAATCCACACCCCTGTTTTGGAGGATTTCAGTGGATTCAGGATACCTCCTTATTGAGCAGTTGAGGGGACTTTGATGGATTCAGGATCTCAACAGATTTACTCCCGGCTAATTGGTGGATTCTGATGGACTCACTGGCCATCAACGATTTTTTGCATGGCAAAATTGATGGATTTTGGCAGATTCAGGATACTTTCTAGTAAAAATACCTAAGGGGTTAGGGTTAATGAAGTTTTGCCTGTAGCACTTTCAAAATCTAGGATATGAAAGCCCAGTCAATGAGCTTTCCATTGTTAGTACAAGAATCATTCAAATCACTCATGTCCTTTCCAAATTACAGAATTTTGAACACAAACACCGTTTTAAAGTTCTGTCCACAGATCACAAAAAAAATAAGTGTTCTTTCAGCAAAATGTAAGCAATTGTCATTGGGATGCATGTGAATTGTTTTCGTTTTGCTGAAAGAACACTTACCTTTCTTGTGATCCGTGGACAAAACTTTAAAACGGCGTTTTTGTTCAAATTTCCGTAACTTATAAAGTACATGTGTGATTTGAATGATTCTTGTACTAATTGAAAGCTAATAAATTGGGCTTTCATATCCTAGATTGTGAAAGTGCCACGGGAAAATTTGTAAGGCCGATTTGTAAGGCTTACGTAAAACTTTATTTTGAATGAAACATGCTCAAATTTACCGTTACACAGACATTTTGATGTTCGCCGGGAAAATACTTGAACATCAATTTCTCCCATTTTGAAAACAACTATCTTCATGCCACATTTGGAGTTTGTTTCCCTTGTAATGATCCAACTATATGTTAAAAATCATTTTGATGTGTTCAATATTTTTCATGTCCATTGTTCAAAACAAATGGTGTTTCTGTCAATCTTTTCAAACCTCACGAATATTAATAAAGTTCCTATCCATATATGGTGTTCAGTAAAAATTTGTACGACCCCCTCCTTCAAGAGTTATGAATTAGTAAATGTCAACCTTTTTGGCGGGCTTCCATTGGTCGATACCCAGGCGAAGTCACGCTAGGTCATGTTAATGAATATGCTAATAATGTGCCTCGTCACTGTTGCGGCCAAATTCAGCCATGGTATAGACCACTTGTTGTTTTGCTTGGCAGAATTCCGAGTCAAAATTTACCTTGGTGGTAATTCAAGGTGTAACACAAGTGTTTGCAGCAACAGAATAAGCTGAGATCGAAATATGGAATATACTTTGATATTAGTGTTCAACTACTCGTGAAATCGGATTAACTTTTTTATCAATGCGCAATGCAAAGCCTTGGCAACTGTAAGGCTGATCAGGGTAAGTTTTTTGTTGTGAATTCGCAAAAGATTAACATATTTCAACTCCGGTGAATTTTGCAGCGAATGTTTTGAGACGTCAAATTTGTTCTGCTTTCGCTTTACCCATGAAAGAGCTTTACCCATAATTATTCTTATTTACATCTGGACTGAAACAAAATGCTTAAATATCAGTCACTTTAATGTGGCAAACATTGACTAAATACTTTTGAAGATTATTATATTTGAGACAATTATCTACAACATCGAAAATAAAAATAAGGGGAGTTTGCTAGAAAGTGTATTTTCTTGGATGTCGTAAGCTTCCAAGCGAGAATTGCAAAGGGATTTGGAGTTAAAGTAAAGTTTGTATGACTGCCAAGCTATCTTAAAACTAACTTGCATATATGTTCATGCTTAAGTCTGGTTCCCTGACTTCTGAGTATATGATATTTCTGTGACCCAGGGGAGCAGTCGCAGCCCAGGTCATCACCTTTTATCTAGGGGCCTTCATGATGTCAGGCTATATCTACAAGTGGGGCATTTACAAGCTTACATGGCCTGGTAAGTATTCACATTGAAATGATTATTTTTCGGTCGTGATGTTATATTTCAATCCCAAATCTGGACTAAAATTGTGATTGGTCGATTCGGATGCAGTGTTTTTGAAATACAACAACGGCCGGGCGCGTATATAGATTTACAAAATCTAGACATGACAGTGATTGGCTGGCTCTATTATTGCTTGGCGTATTGCATAACATATTGTTACAGAGGGTGTGACCGCAGATGCAAGGGTCTATTACATAGACTAACCACAGAGCAATCTTGAATCAAGGCTGCACCTCACATATCCGCACCTTGGGTTAAGGTGTCTGCGTGCCTGAACCTCACATGCTAGTGTCACACTTGTCTGCACCTTACATGCCTGCACCTTTGTTCCCATTGCCCTGTGTGCCTGGACAAGTACTTAATACCTTGGGTGAATGTCCCACTTGTGTGCATCTGCACCTACCGTATGTTGCATGTGCCACACATGCCAGTGTCATTTAAGCGTTTTGCACCTTCTGTATCTGCGCCTTAAATACTTGCACCTTTGCTTGCACCTGTATTACAAATGCGCCTTCGGTGTGTCAACCTCACATGCCTGTGCCACACATGTTGCTACACCAATATGTGCCTGCACCTTTGTTACGTATGCCACACATGCTGTTTCCATAAGTGTTTTGCACCTTGTTTGCCTAGTGCCTTTACATGCCTGCACCTGTGTTGCGCGCCTTTCGGTGTGAACCTCACATCCCTGTGCCTTATGCCTGCATCTTACATGCCCATGCCCGAAACATGCCTCGGCCTTGTCTGCCTGGGCCTTGCACCACTGTACCTTACAAATCAGCACTTTGGTTGCTGGCATGCCAGTAGAGCAGCACATACCAGTGACTTAGGCCCCGTGGATTAATTCCGATTTGCGTGCGCCCCTGTGCGCCCCCGTGCGCACGCGTGCGCACGCGTGCTCATGCGTGCTCATGCGTGCTCATGCGTGCTACCCCGTGCTGCACGGGTCTGCCCACAATTGCATAGGCCCCTGCGTGCCGTTGCGTGCCGTTGCGTGCCGTTGCGGGCAACTGCGTGCCATTGCGTGCTTATGCGGGCTATTGAGCACAGGCAAGGGTTGCTACACTAATCCCTAGATTAACGCTGACAAAAGAAATTGGGTAGCCGGCCAAGGCGGCACCAGACAAAGAGGTTGTGATAAATAATGAAAGGTTTGCGATGGAAGGGCTGGAGTTCCAATGACATAAAAGACGTGCATGGCAGTGCCACAATGCATGGTGTCTGGATTACTCTTTTATGATACGTGACATTACATGTACTACACTTTACGTACGTAAGGCTAGGCTATTTTCATAGCTTTTTTGCGTCGTTTGATTGAGCTCCGGACATATTATATTTCTTTTTAGTTTTCGTTGAGAGCTTCGGTTTTAATTGAAAGGGTGACAAATGATTACCAGATATAGGAATCTTTCCGGCCATTTAGTTAATCCGGTGTTTATCACCTCCCGCCCCGATTTCCACGCAGCCCTGATTTTTTTTGGCACAATTGCAGAATACCCCGCCACTCAATCTACCAAAAGTATAGTTCCGATCCCGCCCAGCACAACGCAGCACACGGAATATGTGTCCACGCATTATCCCTGTTTATAAATACCACCACCGCGTGTCAGACAACGTCTGGCATTGGCCGATCCCGCTCCACACAACACGGAACATGCGTGCACGCGTTATTACTGTTAAATACCGCCAGCCAGACTACATGTAAGTCTGACACCACTTCCATCAGCGTACAATAACATGCGGTTGTAGACCAGTCTGGCTGCGTCTCGCCGTTTACAAAATTCTCTCATTTCGCTTCTGTACCCCGACCTTTAAAAATTCTTTGCGGCAAGGTGCGGCAAGCTTTTAATAATTTCTTTTGATACCACTGTTTCAATAAAAGTCTGCACGTAGTTCTGGGTACGAGTGTACCAGTCCGTACCATTTTTATTTATAAAGCTATGATTAAGACAGTTCGATTTTTCAAGTAGATTTTAATTCTACACGGTGTTTTAAATGAAAGTACCGGCTCACGCGGTAATGTTTGGGGCATTTCCTGTCCTTTCCTGGGCACTTTTATCATTTCGTTAAAATTTCCTGTCTTTTTGGAACGCGTGTAATTATTGGTACCACCAGAGTAGATGAGTCACTTTCTGGCCCTGCCAAGTGTTTACAACCAACTAATGAGCGGATTAAGGGACACAATGGCTAAAGTCCAAGACGATGTCTATTGTGCTTTTCTGCGGTTTGTTTGTAATGTTGTACCGCCTGGCACTGTGCCCGTTTGCGTGCCACTGCGAGCAAGTCCGTGCCAATGCGTGCCGATGCGTGCCGATGCGGGCCAGTGGGTTCAAAATCTCCTTTGTTCGAGCTTGCCTGCATGCGCAAGCGTGCGCACGCGTGCGCACGGGGGCGCACGCAAATCGGAATTAATCCACGGGGCCTTAATTACGCCTGCACCTCATGTGCCTGCGACTTGTTAACATAATCCCTGTATCCTATGCTTGAACCTCACATGCTCCTGCCAATACTTGCCCATGCAGCATTGCCTGCCTAAGTCTACTGCACCTCACTTTGTTTAATTGCACCTTTGGTTATACATTTTGTAGGGATCTTCTAACATATTATCATGCACCTCTTTGTTGTTTACTACATGGAGGCTGGTCATGGGAGTGTCTCCAAGAGTGGGGCACCATCGTCAAGTTGTCCGTAGGTGGTATGGGTATCACCACCATTGAATGGTGGTGCTTTGAGGCTGGTTTCTTCATTGCAGGTAAGACGATGACTCTGCAGTCAAGTCTCCATCACAATTCAGTACAATGAACTTTGACAAGGGCATTCCTATATGTGATACATGTTCATCTTATTGTGATTGATTTGTGATTTGACTTGTGATTGACTTTTGGGTAGATTTAGACTCTTACTTAAACACATCACCTTCATTTTGTGCACATCCACAGTGGCGCACCCATGATTTGGCTTGGGGGGGGGGCTCACAATTTTGTTTTCAATTTTTAAGAAATATTTTTTTTTTTTTTTTCAATGTCCAAAATTTTTGGCCGCGGAAAAAAATTGGTTTTTTTTTAAATTGTCTTTGGGGACGGACTATTTTGACGTTGGTGTCGCCATTTACACCCCTATTATACTACTTGAAGATAGGCCACATACATATCACCACGGTCAAATCGTGGGACTCAAACAAATTTGACCCTCCCCCCAAAAATGGACAACCTCTTGGGGGGGGGGGCTCAAGCCTTGGGTACGCCCCTTGGGTGCGCCACTGGCACTCCAGTCTATAGGCTCCATGCGTAGACAAGTGATTGCGCTTTCAGGAGCCTAGTGGACGGAGCACACTGCGTGCACGTACTAGTTCGCACACATTTCATGTACCGTAATTTTCGGAATATAAGCCGCGGCTTATACGTTGAATTTGCCCATGAAAATTTTTACTGCGGCTTATACACAGGGCGGCTTATACGCCGAGCCTTGAAGAATAAAAATAAGATTCACATGTGTATTTAATGTACTGGTACAAGAAGAGATGTGTTGCTGAAATGAATTATAAATTAAGAAAGTCATTAACAAACCCAAACCACGTCTCACGTAAAGGTACCGAGCGGTAAAAAAGTACGGTGATGAAAGCTGTCTTCGACACTTGCCACCAGCCGTACGTGATACTGGTACAGTGCAGCAGCGATATGCAGGCATGCTTTCCCAACAGCGGACCACACCATTTGTGGTAACAAAGGGGTGTTCTTTCTTGGGAACAATAATTACCAATATTTTCGCTGTTAAAAAAAAAGAAAAAAGACCACTAAAATTTGTATGGCGTTCGAAACATTTTTTTATTACATAATCAGTTGTTCAACGTCACAATATATTTTGTTTTCTTGAAATGTATTCAAGAAACGATGTAAAACTCAAAAGAGGGACTAAATCACCCCTTACAAAATTAATGGAATCGTCTATTAAAATGTCTGCTTCGTTTTGACTATTTCCGAAGAAAATTACGATCGAAACTTGAATTTTTCTCGCAACTAATCGCAACAATTTGATAAGTTTTGAGGTAAAAACGGACCTGTTGATTCTTAGGACAAAACAAATCAGCATCTGTTGCCACAAAGCAAGATTTGTAGCGCTCCAGTCAGACAACACACGGTGGGTTTCATACTCTCTCACGTGCTGTGAGAAAATGTTGTCATTCACCGGCGTGCGTGGCGCAGGCTGCCGGGCTATGACGGGGCAGCCGGCAGCAGTTCCCGGTGTTTATTTCTCATCAATTCCCATATTTGTTTGTAAAAGTATCGATTGTAAATGATTTGATATAACTTTTGTGGTCCTTTTAATAGCTTCTGTAGTGTAAATGGAACTGGTTCAGAGCATTTTGACTAGAAATTGGAGGCCTTACAAAATTGAAACCGCAGCGGTCGGTGCGGCTTATACGCCGGTGCGGCTTATACGCCGACTTCAAATCTTAATTTGCAAATTTTTGCGTGCTGCGGCTTATACGCCGCGCGGCTTGTATTCCGAAAATTACGGTACCCTGCTATGCAGAATGTGTTTCTTAGCAAATGTATACACTAAGCAAAACTCAGTCAAGAACCAGTCGCAAGCAATAGACATTGCATGACACTTTGGCAGAGATGAAACTTTTTCAATTTTAATCGGAATTCCGACCTTTTCAAATTTAATTTCAAAGATTCCAATTTTTCCACCCCGCAAAGTTTGATCTTTTTAAAAATTTGATGAAAACGACACCGTGACATCTGTATTGCGAGCGCAGTTTTAATCCATTCTTCCAGTCGTCAGGGCACAGATTGTACGGTAGATGCACATAAGCCCAGATTGGAGTATACGGCTGGAAATAAGTTTAAGCATTAACGTATGGAAGGGGTTCTAATTATGTGCATCAGGTCGGGTTGACCAGGCCAAACCGACCCGGAACATTAGAGACATAAACTGAATCCGAACCGAAACGGACCTTCACTCCCTCAAACCGAACCCACCCGACCCAACAAAAAATAACGTAAAACCGACCCGACTCGACCCGAAAAAAACCCCAAAAACCTGAATACCTGGCTTGGACAAAGTGATCACTTTTTTGTGCTCTCCTTACCCGCGTGGCATGAATTCTTTTGCAAAACTATCGTCTCTCTCTCTCTCTGTCATACTCAGTGGGTTGATTGAGAGTAACTCTGCTTATTGGCATGGTCACCATGCGGTATCATGAAAACTGTTACAATCTATCTATTTCACTGTCAGTCCAGATCCGACTAAAGACACATTAATATCATGGGAACTTGATAGTGCGCTCGGTGGCCACACCACACAATGGGCCGCGGTCACAGTGACTGTCAATAATATTGCATTACCTAAATTTCTCAACCGATTTCGTTTTTTTCAAAAATGGCTAAACCGACCCAACCCGACCCGACCCGAAAATGTAAATGCAAAACCGAAACCGACCCGACTGAAAAGATGGACAAACCTACCCGACCCGACCCGACCCGAAGTCGGCTTCGGGTTGGGTTTGCACATCATTAATGGGTACAGACTGCTTCAAGGCTGTTGCATGCCGTGTTCGACTGTAGTAAAATCCAAATGTTGCGTTATTTTCGAATGTTTGGGATTTTTTCCCGTTTTTTTTATCCACATACGCAAGTGGAGCTGTTGGAGTGAATTGCGCACTTGTCTTTGACAATGCTTGGACTTTTTCCTCAAGTTTCTTAAGTAAAAAAAAGAAGTTATCTTCTTTGTTGTCAAGTCAGTTACTTTAACCTTATCTCTGCACAGATGGAGCCGCACTGACATTTTTAGGTTGTTTTTTTTTTAGTGAGAAATGGAGTTGTGCGAAATGTTTAGATGGGAGGGGGGATGTACTGATATTTTCATTTTGTTGAATGTTTTTCTTATTTACAACTTTTAGGCTTGTATGGGATAACGGAAGTTGGTGCCCATGCTATCCTGTTCAATATCGTGTCTATTACGTACGGTGTAAGTATGCAGCTAACTCTTTTAAGATTTGGTGAATGGGGTGGTTTATTAGCTTCTTGGTGGCCAAAAGACACAAAATGCTGAAACGGGGTCTAGTAAATTATGGAAGCTATGTGCCTTATGATGCCACAGTGTGCCTGTATATGCTAGTGGTGGGAGAAATCGAGATTTTAAAATCTGTGTATCCTAATTTTGTTCACACCGAATAACGGTTATTCAATTTCATGGGAAGTTTCCATCCAGCTCACAGTCATGCCAAAAAGTGACCAGTGAGATGCTGCATGCAATGCGCTCCAGAGATGCGATGGTGAAAAAAAAGTGGGCGGGAACTCTCTGATCAGTCAAATGGGCGGGCTATTCCGTGAACCAAGAAGACCACTAGCGATCGAGTAAATGCGGTCATTGTCAGAGATCATGGAACAAATTGGGAGATGTTCCAGCTACTCTCTTTAGCCTGTGTTAACAGAAAATGGAAGGCTTACGCCCTAATTGTTATATCTGATGTCACATCAATTTTTTGGGGTGTAAACTCACAAACGTTGAACACATTTGCAACTCTGGCCACTTTCGTGGCGAAGGTTTCATGACGTCCGATTTGCTTTGTATTCGCACTCTTGTGTGAAGTGTGAACCAGTCTAATAATTAAGTTCACTGTTTCTTTGATTATGATTAATTAAAGTGTTTTTGTTGATAATGCTGCAGCTGTCGAGTGGTGTTGGTATCGGTGCATCCATCTTGATTGGAAATAGTCTCGGAGCTAAAAACCCAACCAAGGCGCGTATCACCACTTGCCTTGCTATCATCATCACAGGTACAACAAGCATCCTTTTCCATAGAAATACTAACTCTACTAATGCCCGCATAACCAGAAATTCAAATTCGGTTCATAATTCTCTGTGAAAACAACACTACTGTGCGTATTGTGGCGCGCTCGCCCGTCTATGGATAAGGAATTACACCCACACCAACAAGAGCTGACTATCCCACAAATATATTTAATGACCTTACATGCGCATGAGCGGTTACACGCAAATAAGGGGGGACTACGTCACGAACGGAGGATTCCAATCCTAGGCCTGTCCGTTTGTTGGAAATATACCAACGCTAAAGGAATACCAATTCACGTGGTAAGCAACCTAGAGGTGACCAGGGAACCTCAATAAACCTCACTACACATGTGTCTTAGAGAACAAGAAACAACTCTTTATTTGGTCCAATACACAAGCTTAAAGTTCAATGAGTGGCCAATAAACCTCGCAGAACAACGTTCCCCGCTGCTCTAGGTTTATCCCTATAAGCCTTACACAACAATAACCTCTTATTGTACAATGCTTACACCAACCAGCCTAATCAGACTCTATGTAATTATCCTCGTTGATTAGCTAGAACGATTATCCCACAGTGGCAAGAACCTCACTGTGCACACCCAGTGCGATCAACAGCAACAAGTTATGAACTGCACACACTGATTAAGACTTTACCAGAGTAACCCTCACATGCAACCTAGCATACAGAAATCACTGGGCTCAGGTTATGGAGCGCGGTTTATAACCCGAGATGACTCCTGGCGACAAAGGTCGACAGGCGAAAGGCAACCCAATTCCCGACCAGGGAATACTGCTGCACATACCACACGAACCTTAGGTCCCCAGTCACCAGCTCAACCCACAGCCACCCAGGCTAATTTCCCCTTACAACAAAAGGTCTAGCTTGCTAATTATGACTCTAAAGTCTCACCTTACGCCTTCAACAGCACGCCGCGATGTCCACACTTCCGAGCGGCGAACATGCATGAGGTTAACTCAGTAATCGGCAATAATTGCGTTCCGAAGTTCACTCAACAGCGTCTGCAGACGAACTGCCTACAAATCTCTGACTACGCGCTGTACCCTACGCACGACGTCGGGGAACCAGGCGAGCCATGGTAAACTCGCACCAGTCCACCGACTGTTTCGCCACAGTATTGCCCTACAATTTAACAAGTGAATTCTTTTTCTTAAAATGAGATAGTGCCTATGCAGCCACAGTCGTACTCCTGTTGCATTTAGACCTGACAGTCAGAGCTGTAATGACTCAAGTCAATGTCCCGAAATCCCAAAATTGTGTGAATAATATGTTATTATTTGTGGTGTTTCATGGAACAACTATTATTATTATTATTATTAATCATTTCTGGTATTGAAACCAAGGATTCCTCAAAAGCGCCCTAGGCACTGTAGCTGGCAAGCCTGAAGAAACCTGTGGAGAGAAGGCAATGAGAAGAATTAAGTTACAGTTTTAGAGGTGGGAGGAAAAGCCCAGAAGAATATTCTGGGGAAACCCATGGAATCAGGCAGGGACTGAAAACCCAATCCACATATTGGCCCAGGCGGGATTCGAACCCGGGTCACAGTGGTGGAAGGCGAGGAAAGTATGGTTATTTTTGTTGGCAAACTTATACGATCACGTGCATTTATTCAAAATAGCTGCGCCAGGATGCATCCAAAAGGATTCTCACTCGGGGGGAATGCGGAAGTTTAGCGCTCTAGTGATTTAAAATAGCTCCATGTGTTACACACTGTCACAGTTCCTGCCAGCTAGTGTGCTGCATATGTCACTTCTAATAATCACCTTGTATAGATGGAATGATTGAGTGCGAAGCTCAGAGAATGCCAACTTCAGGTATCACGATTCAAAAGTCTGCATTGTAGTACTAATTGGCTATGGTTAAACTTGCGCGCCTTGCACAGAATACATAAGAAACAAATATTAAATCTAAATTTGAAGGAGAATAAAAGAAGTAGAACCTTAATGAGAATTGAACAAAGACATTGACTGACTGGGAAACCACCAACACAGGGTTGGATAGCTCAGTTGGTTGAGCACTAGAATGGTAATTGGGAGGTCCCAGGTTCAAACTTCCTCCAGTAAATTGTTTTGTTCAACTTTGAAAGAACTAACGTAACATTATTCACATTGTCTTTCCTCAGCAATTCTCAGCGTGATATACATCGCTTTCTACTTGCCATTGAAAGATGTTCTTGGGTACATCTTCACCAAAGACACGTAAGAGACTGCAAACTGGCTTTTCCCAAAGTTATTATAGTTGTGAATATTGGAGGATATGGAGGTGTTTTTATGGTTTAATGGTACATCATTATGCATCAACTTTCGACAAAATAAAGCACACTTAAATAACAAAAAACTGGACTATACCATAAGGCAGTATAGTTGTTAAGGGTAAAAATTATTATTCTAGTGTTGCCTTGTCTATAGCTATAAAGCATGTACACTTGTCTGCTGGTATAATGCTTTCACCCCTTAAGTAAATGGTATAGTTCGCACTCACTGCACATGCAAGATGGCTACCAGTGGACTCCACACACGACCAGTACATGGCACTTTGTGATGGCACTTTGTGTGTGCACGTCGCTTATAATTCTCCAGGGGCCGATTTCGCAGACCGCTAAGACGCGTCTTAGAAGGGTAACTCGTCTTAACTCGCAACTCGTTCTAGGATCAATTCCACTAAACTTTAGACGTGTTCAACACGTCCATACTTCCTTACCAACTCGGCTGAACTCATCTTAACTTAAGGTCTTAACTAAAGATCTTAATTTGTATGTCGTCTGGAAATCATTGCCGTAAAAGACGAGCGTCGGCCTAGAGTTATAGTTTTGAGGAAGAAAACCGCTGTGGAAACAGATTTGAAAAGATTTCTAATACGTTGGTAGTTTGAATAAAATAGCCTATTTACAACATTTAATTATACGCCAACACCTAGTTGACCTTTTAAAATATATCAATGAAATGGGGAGCAAGAATGACTCTTATCGTATCTTGTGTAGAACTACCTTGCTTGTGAACTTTATCGAGGAGAGTTACTTTTCTGGCGAAAGTTCGTGTTCTGTGCACGCGCACGGGAAGTTAGTTTTGCACGTTTCTTTTTAACGACTGTTTTGTTAGCGGTAAAAGCAAACACGAAACAACCATAAAATGGGTAGTTTTGATGCGGCTTGCTTAAGATGGGCTTAGTAAAATCAGTCTTAGGACGCGTCTTTGCTGGAAGATCAATTTTAGAGCGGGACTCGTCTTATTAAAGTCTAAGATGAGTCGCAAGATAAGACGAGTTTCGTGAAATCGGCCTCAGGTAATACCATTTTAAATTTTTAGATACTCAGAATGCAGCATAAGTAACTAAGGTATTGAAATATGTAACTGCATTTAAAAACAAAGATCTTGTTCTCTTACCCTAGTGACGTGGTCCAATTGGCTGCGAGTATTGTGCCAATCATTGCTATCGCTGAGGTATTCGACAGCGTAAATGTAAGTTATTAAGGCCGCATTTCTTCGAATAAGTCCAAGTAAAAAAGAAACAGTTTTTTCGTCCCCGCCCGCTTCCTTTTGTTTTGTTTTTTGATTCATACATTTTGCAATATATTTAACAAATATATTGTAAATATATTGTCTTTTTATTTGTTTCCAACAAAATTGTAGCTACTGGTATAGCTTTGTAGCTTTGGACACATTTTTGTATCAGCAAAAGAGTTGAGAAAATGGAAGAATCAATCCGCCGTCTTGGAAAACAAAAACAGAAACAAAACAAAATTGGGGGGGCGGGGATCCCCCTGATAAGCTACTGGCCCCCCCCCCCCTCCCCCCCCCCCCCCTCTGCTAAACCCATCAGCGTAAAAATGTACAAAGTACTTCACAATATTGTAAGGATGCCTGACATTTTTTTATTAATAAAAATTAATGGAACATTTTTGAAATTTGTAAACATAAAACAATTTTGTTTTTCAAAAAAGGAAAAAAGTACACAGCTAAACTTGGGGGGGGGGATGCTATACTATATTTACAGAAAATTCATCACACAGATAACAACTGGGTAAGTTCAAACACTGGGTCTGTGACTAGACTAGTCAGTGTGTGGTACCAAGACATTCGCAGAAAGAGTTAACGTGGACTGGCGAGACTTACATGCTCTATTCCAACTTGGGACTTTTTTTAAGATGTTGCATTCAAAAGTGAGTGACCTTTTTAATGTTCATCAATTTCAAAAGCAATTATTTTTTGTAGGTGAAAGTGATCAAGTAGCACTGAGAGTACGTCTGCGTTAGTGTTTTCTGACATTTTTATTCCAGGCTGCACTTTTTGGTATTCTGCGTGGTTGTGGGTACCAGTACGTCGGAGCTGCTGTGGTCTTCATTGGTCAAGGCGCAGGCCTCGCCCTTGGTGTGGCCTTGATGTTTACTTATGACAAGGGTTTGAAAGGTACAGAATTTTGTTGGTTTTTTTTGTTCAAGTGTAGTCTGAATGAAGTGACTATTACCAAAGATATAACATGCTAGGATACATGCTAGCTTCTCAGTTTGCAAATTTCAATTTTTGTAACATGTTGCAGCCCCAAAGGTACATAGGAACAATTGACTTTGTTGTCATATTTTTTTCTTTTTTTGTTTTGGTAGCAAAATTGCTAAAGATCTTAACCTTAACCCGCAATAGCCTTAAAAAAACATTTTTCGCGACCCGAGCTGACTTATTAGCCTCGAGCCTTGCGCATCTTTTGATACCAAAAACATAAAAATCGGAGCACTGGTTGCCACGCAGCGAAAAATTTTCCGGTGCTACGCGCCCTGAAAACTGAATTTCTCCATATACATCGTGTACACAGAGCAGAATTACCATTCATACATATGAATAATTAATTAGCCGTAATTCCAAAACCCTTTGACCTATAGCAATGAAATTTCTTGGGTATATTTATGATGAGTTGCTCTATGCATGTACCAAGTTTCAAAATTTGTCATCACTCGATGGCCGAGATCTTAGTGTGTGGAAGATGGCATCAAAGAACGACATTGAACAGCTGTTTTTCTAAACTGTTGAAAAAAGTTCTGAACTGATTCCCGATTCTTTTGACAGGTTTATGGTTTGGTACAATGGCTGCACTCACCCTTGAAAGTCTGATGCTGGTGGTGTTCATTCAGTGTTTCATTAATTGGGATAAAGAAGTCATCAAGGTAAGACTCTTAACGTGGTTGCAAAACAATACAGTTTACTTTACCTAACTTGCCTGTAGAGCCACTAACATTTGCATATTCCCCTTACCAGCAGGTTCCATTCGCCAAGAGTTTATACAACAGCGCACCCTATATAATTCTGCCCACACTGCCCTGCATCATGAACGCCATCTTGACTTCCTCTTTTCTCTTAGTGGCGGGACAGATAAGACATGTTTTTCAGTACCTCCGAAAATTGGGTACTTCGTCTTTTTCTGCTTTCCTAACTTCGTCAAGAGTTGTAATAATAACAGAAAAGTAATCACAAAAGCTAATAAAAAGGAGAAACATATGTCGCTTCAGAAGGGCGTTGCCGCGAGATTTTCCTTCAGTGCGTGGCTCGGCAGATGGAGACCCTGCATGTTAGGCAGAGCACATTAAATATTTGCCTACTGCGACCGATGCAGCGGGAACTGAACAAAATGAGGGAAAACGGGGTGACAAGGGTGGAAAGACCAAGGGCAAATCCCAAGCCGCTACCAGTGTTCGTCCCCAAACTGAAGGAGTGAAGCACAACAAGCGGGGAAACGGTCTCATGTGCAGACCGTCCAAACAGCTTGTACCATATCTGATACTGTTTCTATGCTTTCTGTGCACGGGTTGACAGCTCCGTGTGTGAGCATGCCAGCCCCGGCCACTCTGCCCCTTGCTGGGCCCTCCGAGCCCAGTGCTTGGTCAGTGCGTGAGCTGTGGACCAGAGCAGGCCGGATCTATTGCGGGAACAAAAGTTGCCGATCCTCTCAGCGCTGGGCGGATAGCGCTCCTGTGGGGTGCTCGGCCGCGGTCAACCAGGTTTCGCTTTGTGTTCCTTGTGTGAGCAAAGAACAGGAACAGACCGGATTTCTTGCGGGGAAGAAAGCAGTGGCGTATCCAGAGGGGGGGGGGGGGGGGGGCACTCTGCCCCCCTGGAGGATTTTGTTCAGCAATTATTTCAATAAATGGTTAGAGAGTTCTGAGTTCTAGCCACATATATGTTGGTGTCCAGTGCGAGCTCTGAAATGGTATGTTGACCGAACACAAATCTTAACAGGTCAGAATAAACAGTTACTCATCAGCCAGCATCTCAAGACACAATCACACGTTGGATTGTGACAGCAATGAAATTTGCAGAAAGCAACTGGCCGAGTCATTCCAGATCAGACACTCGCGCACATGATGTATGAGCGGTTGCAACATCCTGGGCCTTCTTTAAGAAGGTTCCCTTAGAAGATATCATCAAAGCAGCTTGCTGGAAATCTCCCAACACATTCTCAGCCTGCTACCTTAAAGACGTATTGCAGTCTGAGGGAAGGCCTGGATGCACAGTCCTGTCGCCAGCCAGGAAGTCTGCCATCAAATCTCCAGAAGAAAGTCTTTAACATTGGATTGGACTTGGCGAGTCCCATTCAATGCTTAATTCTTTAACTACTAATTTCGTTGCAGTTCCCTTACGTATGTTTCTGGTTTGACTGTTACTCGGAGTGTACAGGGTGTTACAATATCTATACACTTCCTATTAATTACTTGGGGTGAGATGGTCTGATTTCATCACCAACGAGGCCATCTCTTAGAAAACCAGGCTGGAGGATATTCGCTCCATCATATCATCACAGCGTCACGCCATCTTTGGGCACATTCAACGACTCCCTAGCAACACCCCAGCAAACGCCGCCCTCATCAAGCTGTCCGTCGATGTATCTACAGGAGTCAAGCCTGATCCTGGTTGGTCACGACCACACGGCAGACCCTGAAATACCTGGGTGCAACAGCTTGAGGCTGACCATGCTCTGTCAGCCCTTGCCCTGTGGCACACCTCGACTGATCGGTTGGTGTGGGTGGCTCACAGTCCCATAGCTGGATTTGGAGATGATGATAAATTAAACTAGAACTTACAATACACATATCTCACTGCCCGCCACAATACACATATCTCACTGCCCGCCACCTCATGGCTGTGCTACTCTATGCAAACATAGTGGCTCTACGGGTAAGTTGAGTGGAGTAGACTTTCCCCCCAAATAAGTGTGGTGGGAGTCTACGAACGATACTGTGCATTTTGTGCACATTCTTACCACACAAAAAAAACACACAGACATCAGACAGACAAACAGACAGCCCAACATCAGACAGACAGCATTGGATCTTTTGATATAGGATTTAATTTAATATAGAATTGGCTGATGATTGATGAACCACTGCAAATTATTTTCCTTTATTGTCCCCGTTTACAGGCTCAGAAAAGAGCTGCAGTGCTGCCAGACTCAATTGATGGTCACAAGTGTGAAGGAGAAATGCCATTGGAGTCAATGGGAAACACTGTCAATGAAGAAGCAGTGAAGTTACCAACCACAAGAGACGAGGACGAGCGAAACTCTATCAAAGGTGAAGAATTTAAAGTCTGCCAGAATGATCGCCATAGCGACGGAGAGAGCAACTCTCAGGATGATAGTGAAGGAAAGCAGTCTGGCTTCCATCAACTGGAACATGAAAACACACAGGATGCTGCTGATAATGCTGAACGCGAAGAGGAAGAAACCAGACCCAAGTGCAGTTCAGACGACGAGAAACAAAACGAAGCGAGACCGGCAGAAGAAGAACCAGAGAAAGGTGTCCTGACGCTAGGCAGATTATCATTCGCCCAGCTCATTTTGCGCCGAGGTCTGGCCCTTTTGCTTTGCGTTTCCTTCCTCCTGGCTTCAACTTATGTCACCGTTTACGTTGTTCCCGCCGTCCGACCTACCTTCTCAGAATCAATGCATGCAACAGCGAACTACACATCAGAGTACATCACTGAGAGTTTTAATAATGGCACATACATTGTTGGGAGTCTGGGAACTAGTGCCTTGCCTGTTGATTTAACAGAATTGTAGCTGGTTAGTTTAGCAAACCCTGCTCTTGTCAGTTTTAGGAGGATAGCCTTTCTTATCGTTTCAGTTTGCGGTAACACCATTTGGTAATAACTAATGCTTAGAAGATATTTAGTTCTGAAAAGAACTTGTCCTGCTTATTATCAACTTTCGCTAAGTAGTTTTTGTTCTGATAAGAACAGTCCTGCTTTAAGTTCTAAAAGAACTTGTCTTTGGTCTCAACGTTTCGACTAGCCTGTTCTAGTCATCGTCAGGAGACTCCATCTCCAACTCTCAGTTATTACCACATTACCGCAAACCGAAACAATACCGATACTCAACCATGCAAAGCCTCAAATCTTATATAGCCTTTCTTTGTTTTAATCTAAAACAAAACCCACTATTCATACGGCCCCCGGTTATTGTACACAACCGGCCATTGTACACAACCAAAACAATACATGGAACATTTTGTAAGTACAGTGAAAAGAATCATACAAATATTGTACAAATGGACTCCCAAAAGTCAGTATTTGTGGTGTTTGACTTTATTTTAAACTTTGTAAACTGGTGGGTTTTTTTTGCTGGTTTTTTTTTCGGCCAAAAAATATTTCGCCGTCAAGTGGTTAAGTGAAAAAAATATTGATGTTAAAACTTGGTAAGGTTTACTTGTAATACATTGCTGTGGTTCAACCAGGTTTTGTAGCAAATTCAAAAAGTTGGGGGGGGAGGATTAGACCTCAAATGACAATAAGAACGTCCTTATTTCTCCTTCTGTCTACCTTTTTTTCCATTACTATAAAAACTTGTCTTTTTTTAGGGGAGGAGTCATGCCTACGTGATGTAAACTGCCATTATGAAACTATATGCGCTTGCTTGCAGCTGGAGTCAAGTTTTTTAATGAGTTAATTTGTAGATTTTTACCATTTGCAAATATTATAGAGGCTATATGTGTATGATGATAGTACACATTAACAGTATTAATACAACTACTAAAACTTACAACATTATGTGTTCAATTTGAAAGAACTTCAAAGAATCGATACAAAAAGAGTGTCATAATTTACTGCATTTCATCAGATCTTGAACGCGTGGTTCCAAACCATCCTTGTAGATTAATACTGAAATTGTAAAGATTCCCATGAAATATTTTGTGTTTAAAAGAATTCTTAAAATGCACTTTTGTGTTCCATTCACCTTTTCTTAAAATAAAAGTATTGCAATTCTAATTTTTTTAATAAGAGCCTATTATTGTTGTTTTCCATGTTAACCATTTTTCGGGCAAATTTTTTTATTTTTTTTTAGAGTACAACAGCAGAATTTGTATTTGTGTATAAACATTTTCTTAAAATTAAGGAAATAATTGTAATATTGCAAGAAAAACAATTCTCACTCCCTTGAAAAAGTTTCTGGGAAGGAAGACAAGAAAATATATTGTGAAACAAGAATTATTATCTATTTCAAGAAATGTAGAAAATCATTTTAAACATTTTTCAAAACTTAACTGTGATATGTTCCCTCGGGCATTAGAAAATATGTCGGCACATACAAACAGTAAAAAGATGTGCTGTTTTGAAAGGTCATAAAATTATATATAGGAATCTGTTTTTTATGGCGCAGTTTATGGACTTTTTTTTTTAACAAGGGAGGGTTCCATGTCTTTGCTGTTATAGTGTAATCCTGTAAAACATGTACAGTACCAGTATACTGGGCGAGTAAAAAAAAGCGGAACCCAAACCCCAAACAATATATTTCATATTTAACAAAATATGTAGCACCAAAAATAATAATGACTGGAAAGCCAATTTTAAAAGCTACTTTTAGATGAAAAAATTACTGAAATTGCTCAATTCATTCAAAGAATATCAACATTTAAACGCAATGACCCTAAAACCTGTCTCGTCCAAAAAAACAATTTATTGTGTGTTTTGACTGTTTGGAACAACAACAAACATGACACAGAATACTTGTTTCAACAACTGTCACCAACTGTAGTACACAATATTTTGATTAACAACCCTGGTTAGGCAAACAATATGATTTATAAAATCTACTTTTTTAAAAGACGGGCCTTCAAAAGGACTTTGTTGCATATTAACGTTAAACTAAGATTTCATCGCTGGTGATGTTTGAAGACAATTGTGACGACGATTGTTGAAATCGCATTTTTGGACGAGACAGGTTTTAGGGTCATTGTGTTTAAATGGTGATATTCTTTGAACGGATTGACCAATTTCAGTAATTTTTTCATCTAAAAGTAGCTTATGAAATTGGCTTTCCAGTCATTATTGTTTTTGGTGCTACATTTTTTTTTTAATATGAAATAGACTATTTGGGGTTTGGGTTCCGCTTTTTTTTTACTCACCTTTTACATGTGTACTATTCCAGCATAGCCTTCCTTCAATGGTTAAGGTACGTATACATGTTGTACATGTACTGGGATTCATAATACTGGCATACGTATTGCACTATTGGACGCACCCCTTTTCTTACAGCCATTTGCATGCCATATACGGGTATCTATGGTATAATCTTTAAAAAAAAATCCAAAAATGCAATCTGAAATCAGTCAACTTTTTAATGAGTGCGATTAAGTTTTGACTTGAAGCACATTAGATGTTTTGTATACATTGTAAATTATTTTAAATCATTCACATATTTTTTTAAAGGGCAATGTAATTTTTTTTAATCCAATCCTTGAAAATGCACCTTTGTTTCCTATTTAACCTTATTTTCAATTACCGTTTTGCCATTTTGAAGGGTATTTTGGTTTAATGCCAATGCAACCTCAATGAAACAGCTATTTCAGCATCAAAGTTTTATTTAATTAAAGTTCATTCATAAATTTGTGGGTTTTTTTTTCAAATTTACATATGTATTGTTAGGTCAGTATATTATAAATGTCCGGCAGAAAATAACTCAAAATTTGAGTATTCCTTAAATGGGGATGACTTTTTGTCATTTTGATGTCTACTTCAAAAGGATCTGAATTGTTGTACTGCTTGAAAAATATTAATTCACAATGTCAAATTCAGTGGAGGATTCAACAAAAAAAATTATAGGATGAGCAAGATGATGATCCGATGAGGAGAGCAGCTTAATTGAAGTTATTTTCAAGAGTATCATCGGGGAAAAAATTATATTTAATGATTTTTTCCAAACTTAAAGACTGTCTTTATTTACATTTAATTAAATTCTTTTTGCACACTACATTTCATTTTAAAGTGTTTTTGATCACTTTGATAGTATATGCCTTTTAAATATTAAACTGGTTTATGCCATTGGTTTCATTTTTGTTAATGTTTTGCATGTCCGATTAACCCAACAATAACCTCCTTCTTAAAAGGTTTTGAGTAGAGTTACTTGTTTGTGTGATTCTTTTGGGTTTTATTTAATAATACACGATCTCCACTGGCTTCCTGTACACAAACGCATCACCTTTAAAATTGTTCTACTTGTCTTCAAGTCACTCATGCACCTGACTCCAGACTACATTTCTGACTGTTTGGAACGCCACATCCCAACTCGCACTACCCGTTCATCATCTGCCATATCATTTATCCGCCCAATAACTAAAAAGCGCCCTGGGGAGATGTCCTTTTCTTCCTCGGCTCCAAAGCTCAGGAAAGATCTACCACAGGCTCTCAGGAACTCCATCTCCATTTCTCAGTTCATCAGAAAAAAAAACCTTTAAAACTTGCCTCTTCACGCATTAAGTTTTTTCTTTTCATGTATGCGCTTTGTATCCTTGGGAAAGGGCGCTTTAGCAAATTCTTCATTAGTATTATTATTATTATTATTTCCCTGGCTCCCTCCGGCATATTATCCCAGGTTTCCCTATGAGGTAGGAAACACCAACTCCTGAAACAGAATTACAATCCGTGCACACAGTATTGGCGACGGAGTTCTCGCCGATAAATGGTAAATTTCACTTTTCATCCAGATCGTAAGTAAACCTTAATACCTCGATCTTAATCATCGATCTCTACTTGTATCTCAGGTGAGTGGTGTATTTAATAATTCTGTGGCCGCTTGGAGGGTGAAATCCGATGTTTTTGTTGGCAGGTGGTTGGGTCGTTAATCCATATCTGACATTCAGCGTGGGCCCTACTAGTAGTCGCTAGACCATGTCCAAATAACCGAATAGCATTTTTTCCAAATAGAATTTGAAAAAATGTGAGCGGTGTCGAAAAACATCTTTGATGTTATTTTAGTTGGGTAGTTGCATTTAAAAAGCCACTTTACACACACATGATGTGAGATTTTCCATGAGGAATTAGGAGCAAATGTGCATCTTATTTCATTTTAGTCGGCTACCTTGATAAAATATATTGATACATTATGCTGGCGGTGAAGCTGCCCGGGTTGGTGGTTGGGCTACCCGCGCCAGGGCTGAGGCTGTCCTCGTCATCCATTACAAACAGTTCAGTCGCATCTTCCATAGACGACCACGCGCGTGTACTTGTAGTGGCATGAACACGACGCGCTCTACTCCATAGCGATTCTACACAAAGCAAAGAAAAAGACGGCCTCACGGCTGTTTCCAAGACTTTCAGATTAATGCACACCGAGTTTAAACTAGAAGATATATTACTTAAACATTCTGGAGGCAAAGTTTTACAAAATGAACAACTAAACAGCCGTACCTGGTACATTTCCCTACTTGTGACAACGGCACATTTTGACTAACAGCAGAATGAGCAACGGAGATTTGCACGTAATTGACAGTGTGACCGGCGGACTACCGCAGTGTGCGTACTGCACTGAAAGTTCCAGGATTCATGACGCGCCGTTACTTCGAGTAATAAATGCACACTTGGCACTCTAAAGAGGATTTTGTAAGCTTCATTTTGATCGGTCATTCAATGCAGTTGGTAAAACTAATACCCCGTACCAAGGACCAAACAAATTTGTCTACTCAACAGTCCTTTGGCCGCCATAAAATACGGCGAACATCATTTTGCTACGCTCCACCACTGTGTTGTTACAAAGTAACAACTCAACGCGCGCGCGCCCGCGCGATCAGGCGATGGTAGACTTGTACTGACACACACGGCGTATACACACATGCAAGGGATAAACGCAATTGCTGCGACAAAAACCGTTCCACACGCACTTCACGTAATCAATAACTGACTTAATGAAGTTTAATACCGCTGTTCATGTTGCGACTCGCTGTGTACAAACTGTTTGTAATGCGGTAGGACTGCCAAAGCCTGAACTAGGCAGGGTGCCCCCACTTGCGGTGGGACTGCCCAAGCCCGAGGTAGGGCTACCCGGACCTGCAGGGGGCTGGTCGCACATGCAGTGGGGCTACCTGCGATGGCAGTGGGGCTGCCCACATCAGCCGTGAGGCTGCCCAAGCCAGAGGTGGGGCTGCCCACGCTGATAGTGGAGCTGCTCGCACCGGCATTGGGGCTGCATGCCCGCCCTGGCGGTGGGGCTGCCTGTGCTGGCGGTGAGCCATGTCATGATTGGGCTTCCCTGATCGTCAGTGGGACTGCCGTCCGCACTGGCAATGGGACTGCCCAAGCCTGATGTGGGGTTGCTCGCATCTGCATCAGGGCTTGCACCGGTAGTGGGACTACCAACACTGGTGGTGGTGCTGACCGGGTCGGCAGTTGGGCTTAATTCCCACACTTGCAGTGGGATTGCCCAAGCCAGCAGTGGGGCTGCCCGCATCAGCGGTGGGACTGCCCAAGCAGGAGGTTGGGCTGCCCATGCCGGATGTTGGGTGCTTGTGCCAGCCTATTGGGCTGCCCGTGCTGGGGGTTGGCCTTCCAATGCCAGCAAAGGGGCTGCAGCGGTGGGACTTCGCGAGCCAGCGATGGAACTGCGTCCAAACTGGTGGTGGGGCTGCTTGTGCCAGCGGTTGGACTGCTCACACTGGTTATGGAAGTGCCCAAGATGGAGGTGGGGCTGCTCGTGCCAGCAGTAGGACTGCCCCTGTCGGTGGTGCTTCCCGCGCCGGAAGTTGGGGCTGTCTGCGCTGGTGTTTGGGCTGCCCTCATCATCGGTGTAACTGATTGCACTGGTGTTGGGGCTGCCCTCATTGGCAGTTGGACTGCCTGCCAAAGCTTGTGGTTGCGCTACCAGGGCTGAGGCTGCCCTTATCCTCTGTAGGACTGACAAAGCCTAGCTAAGGCGGGGTGCCCAAGCCAGAGGTAAGGCTACCCGCACCTGCAGTGGGGCTGGTCGCACATGCAGTTTGGCTACCTGCGCTGGCAGT